TAAAAATAACAGAATAGACCTTATATTTTAAACAGTTTACCAATAAAGGGTTGAAAACATACTACTTGCAAGTGTAGCTAGTTACTGTTGTGATCAGGAGACAAACCTGTGGAAAACCATGTGCCAGTCTACATCTGCATTAGACTTAATGAAGATCAACTTGAGCTCTATGTTGTTTTGGTGAATCACACTCACAATCTGACAGATTTGTCTCTTGGCTTCCTACTGGTAGTCTCAAGAAACTGTCCTAAGCTTGTCATAATGTCAGACACTCAACCTGTGAGCTGTAATTAAACTGTGTTGCCTCCAACACTAAGCCATCTCTCTGGTGAATCAAAAGCAGGGTTATTACTGGCAGGTGTTGACTGTGATGATCCACTGATGGATGACAGGTGGTTACCCAACTATATGCATAATTGTGGGTGGTATACTCAAGCTGCTTTAAATTTATAAACAAGGCCATATGGCCTTATTTGAAAACCCGTCAGATTTACAGCACAGATTGTTGATACTATCGTTCCTGAGTTGCAGTTGAAGTTGAAGATTGGAGTATAAATTGTTAAGGCCATCACATATTCTTCATTTGCCTTTTTTATGGTCAAGACTTGATCCAAAGTTTTGATGCAGTCTGATTATTGTGGCAGGACTAACATGTGTTTTGAGTGAAGTTTTCATTCAGAGATCTGATGAGGTGCGTTATGTTGGCAATGAGTCTTTGAGTCTGTCACAATCTGCCCCTGCCCGCCTGACTGTGTTCCTCTCCTTCCATGATTGCCCTTATTGTTCTCACCTGTCCCTCGTTTACCTGCCCATGTTTCCCTAATTAGCCCTCTTTATTTAAACCACCTGTTTTGCCCCTGTCCTTCGTCAGTTCATTGTTGTTGTTTGTTGGTGTCCTGTTCATCCCATCCTGCCATTAAACCATTTTTACTTTTACCGAAGCCTGCATTTTTCCTCCGTTCAGCTCATCCACACATGGTCCGCCGTCTCCACCTCCTACACCGTGACAGAATGAACTGACCAAACCGGGACCTGTGGTGAGCACTTCTAAATCTCCCTGGAGGATTTATTTTTTCTCTTTTTGTCCTTTAGCAGAAGGAGATTCTGGCCCAGGGTGTTGGTGCATCCTACCTGTTCTCCGGGGTGGACAAGCCTCTGGGTGGGTTTCGGCGCATCCAGTTCATTTCCTGCGGTGGTCAAGCCCTTCTCCTCTCCTGCTTTCTGTCCTCATCCTGTTTTTCTCATGGAAGCTGCGGATCCTGGAGCTCTGAAGGAGTTACACCCCCTACGCACGCCATCATTCTCCGGGGTGGTGGGGTTGGTCTCCCCGCTCTTCTCCTGCTTCCCTGCACCAAAGCCTCTGCCTGAGACCCAGCTAATCGTGCCGTGTACCTGCTCTGACCGGTTGTCGAGCACCTGCCACCGAGCTGGGTTCCCTCGCATCGCTCCTGCCGTTTGTCCACTTCCTGGTCCATGCTGTGGGGCTTATGCCTGCAGGTCTCGTGCTGCTGCAGCCTCTGCTGGGTCCCACGCCTGCTCCTGCAGTTCTCTGCCTGGGTCCCACGCCTGCTTCAGCAGTTCTCTGCCTGGGTCCCACGCCTGCTCCAGCAGTTCTCTGCCTGGGTCCCACGCCTGCTCAAGTCCAGTCATGTTCCAGTCATGTTCCAGTCAAGTCCCTGTTCCAGTCAAGTCCCTGTTCCAGTCAAGTCCCTGTTCCAGTCAAGTCCCTATTCCAGTCAAGTCCCTGTTCCAGTCAAGTCCCTGTTCCTGCCCAGTCAAGTCAAGTCACTGTTCCTGCCCAGTCAAGTCAAGTCACTGTTCCTGCCCAGTCAAGTCATGTCCCTGTTCCTGTCCAGTCCAGTCCCGTTCCTGTTCCTGTCCAGTCCAGTCCCGTTCCTGTCCAGTCCCGTTCCTGCCAAGTCAAGTCAAGTCCCGTTCCTGTCCAGTCCAGTCCCTTTCCTGTCCAGTCCCGTTCCTGCCAAGTCAAGTCAAGTCCTGTTCCTGTCCAGTCCAGTCCCGTTCCTGTCCAGTCCCATTCCTGCCAAGTCAAGTCAAGTCCCGTTCCTGTCCAGTCGAGTCCCGTTCCTGTCCAGTCGAGTCCCGTTCCTGTCAAGTCCAGTCAAGTCCCGTTCCTGTCAAGTCAAGTCGAGTCCCGTTCCTGTCAAGTCGAGTCCCGTTCCTGTCAAATCCAGTCGAGTCCCGTTCCTGTCCATCTCGTTCCTGTCATGTCCAGTCTTCGAGTCCCCGTCCAGTCCCTGTCCAGTCTCGTTCCTGTCCAGTCTCGTTCCTGTCATGTCCAGTCTTCGAGTCCCCGCCCAGTCCCTGTCCAGTCTCGTTCCTGTCCAGTCTCGTTCCTGTCATGTCCAGTCTTCGAGTCCCCGTCCAGTCCCTGTCCAGTCTCGTTCCTGTCCAGTCACGTTCCTGTCATGTCCAGTCTTCGAGTCCCCATCTCCTGTCCAGTCTTCGTGTCCCCGTCTCCTGTGTCGTGTAGCCTTATGGGCATCTGGTATCCGCCCTTGGGGGGGGGGGGTACTGTCACGATCTGCCCCTGCCCGCCTGACTGTGTTCCTCTCCTGCCATGATTGCCCTTATTGATCTCACCTGTCCCTCGTTTACCTGCCCATGTTTCCCTAATTAGCCCTCTGTATTTAAACCACCTGTTTTGCCCCTGTCCTTCGTCAGTTCATTGTTGTTGTTTGTTGGTGTCCTGTTCATCCCATCCTGCCATTAAACCATTTTTACTTTTACCGAAGCCTGCATTTTTCCTCCGTTCAGCTCATCCACACATGGTCCGCCGTCTCCACCTCCTACACCGTGACAGAGTCAGAACCTGTTAACATTTTAGAGCAGCTTCAATTGTTTGCAGACTTTTTTAGGGTGACTGTTGTCCTTAAGGTTTCTTCAAGTGGCATTGTGCAGAATAACACAACAGCTTCAGAGCTTTTGCTATAATTTCAATCATTCATGAGCTTTAAAGAGTTTTTTTTGACAGTTAAAGTTTCGGTATTTACCTGTGCCCATCCCTTCCTTTTCAGGACATTTACAGTTTGTTCTGGCATGCTGTTGATCAACTACTAAGATTAATTGTAACTAATGAAAGCCCATTCTTATATAAACCATGCTTGGTATTTGTCATGATTTAGAAACATGTTTTGGCCACCAGTGTTGGGCAAGTTACTTCAAAACTGTAATGCATTATTTATTACTTGTTGCCCTCATTTTAAAGTAATTGATTACATTACAATATTACTGATTTTAAAATGTAAGGCATTACACTACTTTTGCATTACTTGAAGTTACTTTCACCAAAACAACTTGAATATGAATTAGGTCATGTGACGCTCAGTGAACTCATGACACATCCAGTGGAAGGTGAAGTGGTGTCTGAGCTAGTTTTGCTGTTAAACAGTCAGATATAATAACAGTTGTTTATTAAATAAACGCAACAACAAATTGTACTCTCAGCATGCTGCCATCTTAGATTAACTGAGCAGGGAGTGAGCTGGTGGGGGCTCCAAGCCTATTTTGCCTTGGTCCCCAAATGCCTTGATATGGCCCTGGATGTTGGACTGACTTTTGAGGGTGATCTGATTCTATCACATGTATAAATATTAAATCCTTATATATTATTTATATAATATTATATTATATAAGCTGGGCTGCAGCGCCGTTGTTGTCCATTCTTTTGGTCATTGTACATATCATGTTTACCTTTCCTTCACTCCTGCCAGTGTTTGTTTACTATTTGCATTGCTATAAGCTAACTGGAAGAATGCTGACATAAAGAGTACACGTTGCCATCTACTGTGCTGGAGTGAAACAAACTTAATTTGAGAGGTTGGTTTTCTAATGCACATGTAAACTAGGATAAAGGCTCCCAGCCATAACCGTAGATTGACCTGAATGTGTAGATTGAGTAAACCCCTTGGATGAGAAGCAACACCCCAACCACAGGGAGTTATTTAGGCTAAAACCTAGCTTATTATCGCTTATTACTGTCTACAGGTGGTTCAGAATGCCTGTGCTTGGATTCGGACCAAGTCCTCCGAACACACCCACATCACCCCGCTTCTCCTCCAGCTTCATTGGTTGCCAGTCAACTTCAGGGTTCATTTCAAGATCCTGGTTCTGGTCTATAGGGCCTTACGTGGACAAGCACCATCTTACATTGGTGATCTTCTTAGTCCCTACACCCCCAGCAGGTCCCTGAGGTCCAGTGATCAAAGCCTACTGGTTGTGCAGCGCCAGGCTAAAGACCAAAGGTGACAGATAATTTGCTGCTGTGACCCCCAGACTCTGGAACTCTCTCCCCCTGAGCCTGAGATCAGTGGACTCAGTGGTCTCCTTTAAAAAAGCAGCGGAAAACTCACTTGTTAAGGCTGGCTTTTGTGTGACCTTCATCACCACCCTCTCCTTGTTCTGCTCTCCCTACTTATTCCAAATTCCTCAGGATCCACTGATTTCTCTCTTTCTTTACATTTTTAATCACAATTGTCTATTTTTGCACATTTGTAATATATTTGTAATAATTTTCTTAATTCTTTTTTATATTTTTACATTTTTTGTTTTTGCGAAGCACTTCGTGATTTTTATCTTGAGAGGCGCTATAGAAATGATATTTTCTTCTTCTTCTTTTTCTTCTATTGAAGTTGGTTAAGTTGAACACAGACGTGAAGTGTTGCTTCTTAAATTAGCTCAACATTTATTCAGTTCATTATTTTCCTAAAATTGGGTTTACATTTATTGTAAGCATTTTCAACAATAGCTTGTCCTATGACAACACTGAATGGTCAGGTTTACCATGGGTGTTATTTATCAGTGCAAGAGTCCTGTGTCTTATGTCCTATGACCTCACACACATTTTCTTCACTTCACTTGTTGAAGAATGTAAGAGAGTTTGTATCCTCCAAAACAAGTGGCTGCTTAGGATGCAAATAAACGTGATTTCAGCGACCTCACATGTTTGTATCATCCTCTGTCCTTGCTCTCTGCTTTCCCAGCCACAGGCAAGTCTCTTAATGTCCGTCCCAGCAGTGATCCCTCTTTGGATGGCCTTCCTCCTGGTGAGATCATGGTTGGTCAAGAGGAACCATCAAGAAAAAACCCAAGTCGTTGGTCCACAACAGCTGGTTTCCAAAAGTACAACCATAAGCCAAGTGCAAGTGGGGGCCCAAGCACTCTCGAACAAAAGGTAAAGCAATACAGACTAAAACTCCATTTATTCAAAACACATAAAATATATAGAAAACTGAATGAATTCTGAGGTCATAACTCAAGTGTCCACATTGGTTTTGTTCTTTGTTAAAGCACTGGTAGCTGGTTTAGACCAACTCTAAGACATTATTTACCACAGTACTCCACTTGTACTGGAGCTGCATCAATTACATGCCTGGGATGAAAGATATGTTCTCTAAACTCATCTATCCTCCCAGTCGCCCTCATTTCCATTCTTTTGGTAGCCCTAAATCAAAGGAGAAACAGCTTTAAGTGGAACTTGTTCTTGTCTGCTTGTAGACACCCAGTGGTGGCAAAGGCAGTCATTATCTAAAGCTAGTTCCTTCTGATAACAGCCCTTTTTATCTTGAAACAAGAAGTTGTAAAACACATGTCCTTTGTTCTAGATTCACCTTTTTGCAGTTTTTCATGACTGATTATAAAACTCTTGCACAATAAAGAAATAACTCAGCTGTGGTATATTCTCCACAGGGTGTCCGAAATGGACGGAAAACCAATTAATTTATCAAAATGACTTTGTCCTCAAGGTCCTGACAGACCTTTAGTTTTCTTAGTGTTTTAGGTTTGTTTTGCAATCAAGTAGGAGGGCTATACAAATGTGAGGAAGCTACTTTACAAGCATTACATGTGTCTAGAAGCATCGTCTGATCATATTTGGAGACATTTTTATTGTCTAACTGAGTGGAACAGAGACAAGCTGTAGGTGGAAAATAATGTTTGAGGTGAAACAGGTATTAGATTTCTTATTCAAGCTGAGCTTCCATGTACGATGTTTGTAAAAACTAGGAGCTTTGTGCTGTAAATATGAGGAAAACCAACCGAGGTGCACTGTTTTCATGAGTTGTGACTGTTATTATTAGGTGCCGCCATCTTTGTTTTGGACAACTCAGTCCAAACACAGCTCTGTAAAGCCCACTTGAACTACATCCACAACTGAAGCCAGTGTGTGTCTTCAGTCATCAGTTACTACAATGTACTCGTCACCTCCTAATGGCTTCACAATGTCTGGTTCTTTGTGTTCTCCACAGTCACCACATGGATTAAATAGACCATATGAGCCTGTTGATATACTGCCACCTTTTTAGTATCTGACTTTTTTTTTTTGCATTTTACGATCTTATCTGTCATAAAAGTTTGTGGAGAGGAGTCAGTTGTCGCTCTGTGTCGAAGACCGCGATGGCATTGAAAGCTGTTTTAGTATCAAAGACCAGCTGAGTTTTACAATCCTGTCTGCATTACTTCCTCTGGCCCCTTCACGCCACATTGAGTTGTAATAAAACACACATGGTTCATTTTAGCATGCAGGGGTTGGAAATATGATTTCTTTATTTTCTGTAGTTGGGCGCTAAAGGATCACTTACTGAGCAAGACTTACTTTGTTTACACATGCTCACCTTTCTGTCTTTCATGTTGTATCAAACATGTAAATGCAGTGTAATACAAAAGATAGATTAACAAGTCTACCTGTGCGGTATTGAGTGTTGTTATTCCTTATAGTCTTTTGAGCACTATGTCCTGTCTTGTCCCTGTGTAGGGTAGAGGCACCCAGAACTATAGGAGTCTTCCTCGTGACGCGAGTGGCTGGTCTGCTCAGTTTCAGAGAGAGTTGACTCGTTCTTCCCTCAGTGCCAACCATCCAATGGTCGACCGATGGCTTGACCGACAAGAACAGGTATAACAGTAGATTCATACTAAACCATATTGTAGTTCTGTGCGTTTAACAGGCAGAGCCAGTTATACTAGGTATACAAATTGTTATAGGCACACATATTCTTGCCTCAAACTTCAGATATTGATTGTGCTTACTGATAAAGAAAATACATTTTATCAGGAGATAAAATTCAAAAAAGAGCCAAACAAATACATGAATGTATTTCACTACAGTTTATAACATAATCTCCATCCATCCATTCATTTTCCTGTGCTCATCTGGGATAGGATCGCAGGGGCAATAGCAGCCCAGACTTTCCTCTCCCCAACCACTTGGTCTTGCTCCTTTGGGGGAATCCTAAGGTATCTACTGGCCAGCCGAGAAACATAGTCCCTCCAGCACATCATGGGATTTCCTTTAGGTCTCCTCCCGGTAGGACGTGCCCGGAAAACCTCACCAGGGAGGCGTCCAGGAGGCATCCTAATCAGATGCCCGAGCCACCTCAACTGACTCCCCTCAATGTGGAGGAGCAGCGGATCTACTCCTAACCCCTCCTGCATGGCCAAGCTTCTCACCCTATCTCCAAGGCAGAGCACACTCTGTGGAGAAAACTCACGTTGGCCGCTTGTATCTTTGATCTAGTTCTTTCTGTCACTACCCGAAGCTTGTGACCAGACGTGAGGGTTGGAACGGCTGGTAAATCGGGAGCTTCTCCTTCTGGCTCAACTCTCTCTCCACCAAGACAAACTGGTACAACGCCTGCATCACTGCAGACCCAGCACCAACCCACCTATCGATCTTGTTCTCTACCTTTTCCTCACTCATGAGCAAAACCTGAGATACTTAACCTCATCCCTGACCCGGAGAAGGCATTCTACCCTTTTCCAACTCAAAACCATGGTCTTGCATTTACAGGAGCTGATTCTCATCCCAGCTGCTTCACACTCGGCTGTGAACCATTCCAGGGAACGCTGAAGATCACGTTCTGATGAAGCCAACAGAACCACATAATCTGCAAAGACCTGATCTTTATGCCATCAAACGAATCCCCTCAAGACCTTGCTGCACCTAGAAATCCTGTCGATAAAGGTTTCCGATTCAGTTCATACATTTCATGGACAAGCTCTTTACAGTCTGATGATTACAGGCGGCTCACTAAAGCTCCACCATGAAGTGGCTTTGGTGTCCACAGTTTATTCTCACTTTCTTTAGTATCATGCTCATTTTTATCTAAGAAGCGTCTTGTTTTGATATTTTTCTCTAAAAAAATATTGGTCAAAAAAAACATTTAAACTTAAATTTCACTAATTATTTATCTATTTTTCCTTACATCAAAAGCTTGAATTGCTTTAGGCAGAATATTTTCCGAGTGAAAAATCTCATATTGTGACAGAACTGAAGTCCCAGACAGGTCGTGGCCTTCCACCCGAACCTGATGGTGGTAAAAAACAGAACAGAACGTAGAAGATGTGACAGTGACAGCAACATGATGCAGACGGTGCATGAGAGGACTGGGAATTACCAGGTACTGAACAAACAGCCAGCCTAACCCTAACAAACACACAGAGATGGTGAAAGTGATATCCAAATCCCATTCATCACAAACTCATCAGGCTCTTCCTCTCTGCTTATATAGTGACAAATAACAGGATAGTTATTAAAACGAAAACATTCCATCCTGAAACCGTCAGTGGTGGACAGACTTCACACTTGTGTTCTAAGTGTGGCATTGCTTTTCACAGAGTAACCGTGTGCAGTGATCGCGGGCTTGTGTCTTCACTTTGCACTTCCTCGCTCTGTTGGTGCTTTATGATTGACTCGGCTCGCCGACGGTCCCTCCGCTCCTCATTCTGTCGAAGGAGTGAAAAGATGCTTCTTTTAAAGTTATTAAATGTGACAGAACTTCTCTGAGGGGAGAGCAGAAATGACCTTGGGAAGTGTTGAAGCACAGAGTTTGATGAGCAGATTTCCACCAGTTTGGGTGTGAGTCTACCTGTCACAGCTAGCTACCAGCTCAGGTTTATTTCTCATAAAAAAGATGAGAAAAGAGCAAAGAAAGAATGTGGAGGATGAGTACCTGCTGATGGAGAGGTGATGATAATGCCCCCCCCCCCCCCCCCCCTCCAAAAAAATACAGCTGATCAGTGTACAAAATCAACCATCATCACGTTGCTGGTGGCTTATTTTGCTAAATCATCTTTTAGCTTCTCAAGATTCTCACCTGCACATTTTCTCACCATCAAACATCAAGCTGACAGAAATTCATTCACCTCTGTTCACATTTTTCTCTGGGTAGACGTGTCACCTCGGTCCACAAATCACCCGTCATCTCAGGTGATTTGTGGAACGAGCTGTAGATTTGATTCAAAGGTGGTAAAATACCCTAAACACCATCTGCAAGAGTGCATATTTCATTTCTTTTTAACGGTATTCAGTTTCATCCCAACCCATGATTTTTATAGCCTCCTGAATAATTTTCTCATAAACAGTGTAAGAACCAAAAGCTGTTGAGTAATTTAAAACCCTCCAAATCCACGGTTAAAGTCTCATGTTAACACGAATCAACAAAAATATACCAAAGAAGGAAAAGATTATTATTTTGGAGCAGTCGAGTTATGTAAATATTTAATGTATAACAGCAGGAGTGCCACGACTCCAGTAACGCTGTGGCTAATTCTGATGGCTGTTTGTAATCCGACAGCTGCGTGACGAAGATGAGTCACCAAACACAAATCTGCTCATTAGAGGTGAAAGTGTACATTTCTAAGTGTCACCTCGGTTCACTCACTCCTAGTCGTGATAGCTGAGTCCCCTCCCACACACGGCATTTTCATATTCCGTCTTTGTTTTTATTTTATTTTTTTATGATGGGCACGCAGCACAGCAGCATCAGATGATGAGATAAAAATACACAGCGTGGGTTAATTAAAAAGAACTGTGGCAGAAATAATGAGTGTGTGCACGTACACAGATGCTGACACACGTACATAAATACCAAGGTTTCAGAAAATAAGCACACACACACCAATTAGCTGTTCTTTGTTTCTTGTGGATTAGTTGTCTGCTTTAGTTTTTGTTACACTTCCTGATTAAAGATGAAAGAAAAACAAAGAGCATAAAAACAGCTGCAAACTCATTTTCTTCTTTTCACTAAAACAGTTTATGCATTTTTCACTCTTAAATGATGGTTTTTACCGCATCACACATTTTTAATCTGCTCTTAATGCAGCTTGTATTCTAACTTTCTTCTACATCAAATCTGACTTTTAAAAACCTGACCAGTCCAGTACCCTAAGAGTGTTGGTAAAGGGATTTTGGGGGCACATTTAAGAGTTATACACTTTAATCTCGGTTGTGCTCAGACTAGCTGTTAGCTCATTTGGACATTTTCAGTTGGCTGTTTCTCCAAATTGAGGCCATTCATGTGCAATAAGATGGACATCAAATGGATATTGTTAATAACAGGCCCTCACAGATGCTGATATAAATTAGGAACACAAGGGGGCTTGCTGAGGTAATACATTGACAGCAGAGGGGAAGTTGGACAGTGCCTCTGCAATTTTTGTCCCAGAGGAAATAAATGAAAACAAGCAAAGCTTGGATGCAAATGTAATGTGGAGTCATTTTTATGGAAGACAGGATTTTCTCAGGATTTTTTCTAGATTCAACATTTGTGTTTAACTTTATCAGTTTTTCGACTCAAACATAAATCAAGACACCTTTAGCCTGTAGTTATATTAGCATGTTGTCCTTTCTTTAGCTAACCAGTCAACACATTCATTCCAGTGTTAAATGGTTTTTATCTGGGACTTAAGAAGCTCCACCTCACACATATCTGTCCAAATGCACACGCACACACACACACACACACACACACACACACACACACACACACACACACACACACACACACACACACACACACACACACACACACACACACACACTCACACACACACACACACACACACTCGCGTGCTGCCAAATGTGGCATGGAGTAAAGTACATTTTATCGGTCATGTACACCAACGCTTTATGAGTTATTTTTCGTATAAACAGCTGACGTTAATGCTGGCCTATTATCCATCTGATGAATGTTAATGGGCCTTCCCGCTCAGCAACACACACATACACTACACACACTCACATTGTGATCAGGTTGAGTGGATCTCTACTGTGTTATTTTGCAGCCTTGATGAGATACCGGAGGCCATTATCACGAGCCGAGCTGACTGGACTGACACCAGCTGTCGAGCATAGAAGGATTTTACCCCATCAGTCAGCTGTGTGAAAGAAAAGGCACTGTGCTTGTTAGGATCTTCTGTTTGGGTGTTTCAGAGTAGGTTCAAGAGAGCCTTTTAACACGCTTAACCTCTGAATTTATATTTCAGACAGGAACAATATGAAGCTTTTTTTTAGGTGAAACACACAAATGTAAAAAGCTGTTATGGTGTTGAATCATCATGTCTGTGTAGGGTGAGGTTTGTGCGATAATTACTCAACGTGATCCCGCTGATAGCTCCAAAGCGTTTGGTTTGGAACCCAAAGGATTGCATGCTCACTCGAAGTCAGGTCCAATCTCGAACAACTGCTTACTGTTCTTATAGAAATGTATGTGTGTGGTCCAACCGAGAAGCCTTGGTAGGTCATTTGAGATGTGCTGTGTGAGGTGCGGCGAGACCATTGTCTCGGTGGGTGCATTCACTCTGTTTGGTTGGGAGTCAAAACGGTGCTGGAGTGTTTCGACATGTGCTGTGCTTAGTAGAGGGGGACTGTGTTTGTTTAAATAGTGTCAGGGTTCCTAGTTAAGTTTAGGATTGTGTCACGTTCTGAATTTGGAAGACACCAAACACAGCAAAAAGTTAAATAAAAAGTCTTTATTAAAGGTGGCGTTACCGAAGAGGGCGAGGCAGGAGACAGAGTCGGAGAGGAGGCGTGAGTCAAAACCAGATCGGGACGAGCAGGTACAGGGAACAGGCTGGAGATGTGGTAGAAGACAGGCGAGGGTCGTGGTGGCAGGC